TGGCTTGCTAGGTTCAGCGCAGGCAGGCAAGAGGACAGAGAAGCGCTCAGAAATTTCTCGTTTGTCTGCTGAGGTGGAGGGCCCATGTGGTCCTGGTCCTGTCTCTTATACACATCTAGATGTGTATAAGAGACAGCACATACACATACACACACACACACACACACACACACACTATTATGTATGTTTATTGCTGCCTGTATTACAACTTCTTCGTCCACACTTTTCTGTCTATAATGTTCTCAGTCTTTTCCCGTATTGACATACTTATGGTTCACTACTGCGTGCCATGTCACTGTCCACCATTGATGTTTGTTGTCGTTCTGGCCCGCACTTGTGAACCGCCATCTGTCGCTGCGTCTTTCCCTCTCCAACAACATAAGGTTCACTACTGCGGGGCGAATTTCTGTCCCGCATGAGATATTTGTTGGATTTCTGGCCCGCAGTAGTGAACCTCTCGGTGGTGCTGCGTCTTTGCGTTTCCAACTACTTGTGGTTCACTAATGCGTGCCATGTTACTGTCCACCGCTGCTGTTTGTTGTCGTTATGGCCCGCACTTGTGAACCGCCATCTGTCGCTGCGTCTTTCCCTGTCCAACAGCATAAGGTTCACTACTGCGGGCCAAATTTTTGTCTCGCATGAGATATTTGTTGGAGTTCAGGCCCGCAGTAGTGAACCTCTCGGTGGTGTTGCGTCTTTGCGTTTCCAACTACTTGTGGGTACTACTGCGTGCCATATCAGTGTCAACCGGTGCTGTTTGTTATCGTTCTGGCCCGCAGTAGTGAACCGCTCTCTGTCGCTGCGTTTTTCCCTGTCCAACGGCATAAGGTTCACTACTGCGGGCCAATGCCTGTCTCGCATGACATGTTTGTTGGAGTTCTGGCCCGCAGTAGTGAACCTCTCGGTGGTGCTGCGTCTTTGCGTTTCCAACTACTTGTGGCTCACTACTGCATGCCATACCAGTGTCAACCGGTGCTGTTTGTTGTCGTTCTGGCCCGCAGTAGTGAACTGCTCTCTGTCGCTGCGTCTTTCCCTGTCCAACATCATGAGGTTCACTACTGCGGGCCAATGCCTATCTCGCATGAGATGTTTAAGTG